TGCCGTGAAGTTCCACCATGGCCCGGGGTCATTCATCCATTCAACTCTGATCACTATCCCCGTACATGCACTGACGATCCCGGCCGTCACGTGCCACCTTCCACCACTGCGATCGTCACCCCGCCGACTTAGTAGTCTCTGCACGACTTGCCCGGATCCCACAGTCCGTCGTTGCGATCAGGCGCACAGCCGGCCAGACTACAGTCAGCCCGTCGGGACTTTTCGACTCGCACCCCACACGTACCATCTAGCCACTGCTTCCCGGAAGCAGTCAGACGAGTTGAGAGAGAGATTTGCGGGCTCGCTTGCAGAATGTATAAATGCGGGAAGGGAGGTAGATACGAGGGAGGATGAAGATTGGGGCAGGGAAGGGTGAGGGAGGACTTGGGGATAATCGTCCGGCGAAAGCCATGTTGATCCTTCTGAGTCCGATCGTAGCCAATCAGAGTCGTCGCGTAATAGGAGTTTCCTCTTACACGGCGCTTCTCCTTGGCTAGACGGAGTGAAGAGAGGACCGACCGGGTTCTTGGGCATAGGACTTAGAGTGGGAGGAAGAAGGGTGCGCAGGATAGCGCGAAACGGATCCAAAATTCAGATGATCAAGAAAGGGAAAAGGCATGCGAGGCAAGAGAGAGAGGGAAAAACGGTTACAGAGAGAGAGTGAGCGCAGGCGCGAAAGGAGCGTCGAAGATGGCTAGGGGAGCAGAAAGGGGCAAGCTCGCATGCATGGCGCCGATCACTAATGCAAAAAAAGGCACCAAAACAGTTACAGATTTCTAAGTCCTATGCTAATTCAAAAATTGAAATCACCATATCCGCGAGTAAAGTAGGCGTGGGGAAAAAAAAAGTCCTACGTCTATTCGTATTCCCGCCAAATTCCCAGAGTTTTCTACGACGTGGTCGAGAACATTCACGCACAAAAAAAAGGATACGTTGGGTTCCGTTTATTTCGGAATTTCTAACCGTCGAGCCAAATTCCTAGCGCGCTCACTAAAGCGCGCGTAATTCCCATGCATTTCTCAAATTATAAAAACGGAATTTCAAGAATCAATGAGACTGAAAACACGGGCCTCAGCAAGGCACTTTTAAGAAAATGGAGAGGGGCCTTGTTGGCCTGAGCAAAATTCGAAAAGAAAAAGAGAGAGAAGGGGTCCGGAAGACGGCGCAGGCTCAGAAGCTGGTACGTCACATACGGGCCACTACAGGAGCGCCAAAATTCATCCAACTAGAAACGTTTCTACTCTATTTTTTCCCGCGGCCGATAGCTGGGCCAAGTACAGGTGGTTTAAGGGGGGGGGGGGAAAGGACTCTCCTACCTAATCCCCCCTATCATCCCACCTGCGGCCCTGCCCCCCCAAAGCAAGGCCCTAAGGTAACCAAAACATGTGATAAACCTCACCACATTATCCCTGCCTGCATCCCAACTACTTCTGTGCAAGTATGCTCTCTCTGGTCTGATCAGATTCGAGCACTCGACCACTTTTATACAGCCCCTAGCTCAAACCCACTGAGCTACAATGACAACTACTCTGTTCTTGCTCTACCCTAGACTGGGAGACAAGTGTGTGAACATCAGAACAACCCATGGACCAAGAACATCAAACAAACCTCTCATAGCCTAATCCCCAAAATACAGCCTCTGGTGGTACACGCAGTGTCTTTACCATGGACAAACCCAACAGTTGTGCCTTGGTGAACACCCGCTGGTGTCCATGGGTAAGGCTGCGGAGTTTGGAACCTGCAACCTCAAACCACAATGTGCATTTCAACCGGTGCTCTACCCACTGAGCTACCGTCTTTCCCCGAGTAGGAGGTGCAGTCCCTTTTTTTTTTTTTTCACCACCAGTACCTCCCCATTGTTTTTAACAAGTCGCAGCCGTTAACACGCCGCACCTTTCGGGGGTCGGAAGTAAGAGCGCCCAGTCGCTGATATTTCAAAAAAAAAAGAAAGGAAAAGAGAAAACACAGAAAAAAAAAAGAGAAAAAACAGAAAAAAAAAAAGCGATTCGAAACGAAACAAAAACAAAAGAAAAACACACCACGCACGGGTGGGGGTAAGACTCAGAAACGAGGGGGGAGAGAGAGAGAGAGAGAGAGAGAGAGAGAGAGAGAGAGAGAGAGAGAGAGAGAGAGAGAGAGAGAGAGAGAGAGAGAG